ATTTATTTCCCAACCAAAAAAATAAATGTTTTATTTTTTCCGAAAACTTTAGGGACATACGTTAGTAATGGATAATGTCCCTTACCACTCTCGTCAAACTAGTGAAATTCCAAAAGCGAAAGCTCTAAAAGAGGTAGTTTCCGTGTTTTTGGGCAAAATGGGTGCATCATATCCACCTACAGTTTAAAAAAAGAATTTCTTGCAATATTGAAAGGCTTAAATCTCAAACCTAGCCATGTTGTAGATTAGATGGCTACGGTATTCGTTCAGACCGTAATACATTTACCACCGTATTATCGTTCTTTAAATGCTATAGAATTAATTTGGAGTTATATCAAAATGGAGGTAAAAAAATTAATCCTGCGTTATCTGAAACCATTTTAGATGTTATTAGAGAAGTTGTTGGTAGTTTGTTCATCTCAAGAGTTATGCTCCAATTGCATTCTCCGTCTTACCAAAATTGAAAATAACCATAGAATATTTCCGGCTCATTCTTGCAATATAAACCTGAATGACATGTCCAGTGAAGATAATAGTTTTGATATAACCATCTGTTGGTTCACGTTATTTTGGAAAGGGACATGGTTTTGTTCCTATTTTCTTTTTCTAGGAATCTAACCTTGACGTGTTGAGAAGGCTTGGATGCTTCAATCACTTTAAAAATTAAAGCCAGACTAATATATTCCACAGTAATTTAAATTTTTTATAATAAGAGGATACTAATAACAGTTGTTCAAGCATTTTTCGTAACATCCTTCATTGATTTTTTAATATTCAATGTAATAATTAAATACTTCAAGTTAATAAAATATTATAGTTTCATGGCGATTTTTATTACAAGCCGTGAATATTTTTTTCGGATCAATTTCGTAAGTGTTGCCTTTAAAACTAAATTTAGTGATATTTATTAAATTATGCGAATAATGTGATAATATTTAAATACGTATAACATTTCCTCTTTAAATCGTAATAGGCCGTCCCTGGGTCGCCGTTAAACGTGTTTTTATACGATATTCTTTGTTTTGCCGAAAAAGAAAGAATATATTTACCTCCAACTATACATACATTTTTCTTGCATTGGGCCAAAAACTATCGATGTCTAGACATCCTCTTTTTAGTGTTTTACCCTCGAATCCCCTTGTGTTTACATTATGACTTTATAAAATTAATAATGCTGTCGAGGCATATTTAATACATAAATTTAGTTTTATATATAAAATTTGTATTATTAGTAAGAAATTTTAATATTATTCAAATAAAATTTGAAATTTACATAATATTAAAATAAATATATAATTTATGGACTGGAAATAAATTAAAATAGCAAATATTTTTTAAATTGCAATAAATTCCTAACAGTAACGCAGTCTACTTCAGACCACTAAAAATTGTCAAAACATTTCAATATATCTCTTTAATTTGGAAAATTTTTAAAAACTTAGGAATTTTCCTTCATTTAAAAAGAATTATAATAATTGCTTGATTCGTACACAACTTTTTGCTTATTATTACTTTGCATTCTTCATTTTAATTCAATTTTAATCATATAATAATGACATTGAGTGATCAGTCTCCAAGTGTAATTACTTTAATTTTCCTAGCCATGCATTTAAGTATGTCGGCAATGGTACCGATAATTTTGTTAAATTGTTTTTCTTAATTTTATTACAAATAACCTGTTTTTTGTTGAATAACCAATTTGTTTTTATTTATGTTTATGTTCCCACCTACGAGTACACAAGTGCCCATGCTTGTTTGGAATTTTCCAGTATGTTAACATTTCGAACTTTATAATATTTGTGGAAACATAAAAATTTAATTTGAATATCTGGTATATAATTAACATTTGTATGCGAATATTATTGAAGGATTCCTATTATTTTTAAGTTGGTTTTATTAGCAAATGTACCAAAAATAATAAAACATCACCATATATAGAAACAAAAACAAAAATATAACTATTTTATTATTACTTTTCTTTTATCATAGGTATATTCTTCTTTCTTCTTCGATTTTAATTAAATCATTTGTTTTTTTTTTTGTTTTTATGAGACTGTTTAATTTTTTGAATTATAATAATGTATTGAATCATTCATACTAAAAATTATACCTGGATTTATGGGCTAAATATTGGTTTTGTCATTTTGACAAAGCAAGGTTTATCCTCGGAATGGCGCATTTTTAAATACTTAAAAAACGTCTTTAGAGGTCTTGCTATGTAATGATTTTTAATTTTTTTGAATTATAATAATGTATTGAATCATTCATACTAAAAATCATACCTAGATTTTTGTGCTGAATATTGGTTTTTGTCATTTTGATAAAGCAAGGTTGATCAGCGGAATCGAGCATTTTTAAAGACCTAAAGAACGTATTTGGAGGTCTTGCTATTTAATAATTTATTATTTATTTGAATTATAATAATGTATTGAATCATTCATACTAAAAATTATACCTGAATTTTAGAGATAAATATTGGTTTTTGTCATTTGGACAAAGTAAGGTTTATCCGCGGAATCGGGCATTTTTAAAGACCTAAAAAACGTATTAAGAGGTCTTGCTATGTAATGATTTCTTAATTTTTTGAATTATAATAATGTATTGAATCATTCATACTAAAAATTATACCTGGATTTATGTGCTAAATATTGGTTTTGTCATTTTGATAAAGCAAGGTTTATCCTCGGAATGGCGCATTTTAAAAGACAAAAAACGTATTTAGAGGTCTTGAAATGTAATGATTTTTAATTTTTTTAAATTATAATAATGTATTGGATCATTCATACTAAAAATCATACCTAGATTTTTGTGCTAAATATTGGTTTTTGTCATTTTGATAAAGCAAGGTTTATCCTCGGAATGGCGCATTTTTAAATACTTAAAAAACGTCTTTAGAGGTCTTGCTATGTAATGATTTTTAATTTTTTTGAATTATAATAATGTATTGAATCATTCATACTAAAAATCATACCTAGATTTTTGTGCTGAATATTGGTTTTTGTCATTTTGATAAAGCAAGGTTGATCAGCGGAATCGAGCATTTTTAAAGACCTAAAGAACGTATTTGGAGGTCTTGCTATTTAATAATTTATTATTTATTTGAATTATAATAATGTATTGAATCATTCATACTAAAAATTATACCTGAATTTTCGAGATAAATATTGGTTTCTGTCATTTGGACAAAGTAAGGTTTATCCGCGGAATCGGGCATTTTTAAAGACCTAAAAAACGTATTAAGAGGTCTTGCTATGTAATGATTTCTTAATTTTTTGAATTATAATAATGTATTGAATCATTCATACTAAAAATTATACCTGGATTTATGTGCTAAATATTGGTTTTGTCATTTTGATAAAGCAAGGTTTATCCTCGGAATGGCGCATTTTTAAAGACAAAAAACGTATTTAGAGGTCTTGCTATGTAATGATTTTTAATTTTTTTAAATTATAATAATGTATTGGATCATTCATACTAAAAATCATACCTAGATTTTTGTGCTAAATATTGGTTTTTGTCATTTTGATAAAGCAAGGTTGATCCGCGGAATCGCGCACTTTTAAAGACCTAAAGAACGTATTTGGAGGTCTTGCTATTTAATAATTTATTATTTATTTGAATTATAATAATGTATTGAATTATTCATACTAAAAATTATACCTGAATTAACGTGCTAAATAATGGTTTTTGTCATTTTGATAAAGTAAGGTTTACCGCGGAATCGGGCATATTTAAAGACTTAAAGAACGTATTTGAAGGTCTTGCTATTTAATAATTTATTATTTATTTGAATTATAATAATGTATTGAATCATTCATACTAAAAATTATACCTGAATTTTCGTGCTAAATATTGGTTTTTGTCATTTGGATAAAGTAAGGTTTATCTGCGGAATCGCGCATTTTTAAAGCCCTAAAAAACGTATTTAGAAGTCTTGCTATGTAATGATTTGTTTTTTTGTTGAATGATAATAATGTACTAAATCATTTGTCTTAAAAATTGTATCTGGAATCTCGTGCTAAATATTAGTTTTTAATATTTTGATAGAGTAATGTTTTTCCGCATTTTTAAAGACCTAAAAAATGTATTTAGAGGTCTTACTATTTGATGACTTTTTTATTGATTACTTGTTTATTGAGTCTTTGGTATAAAAATTGTATTTGAAATCTCTTGTTAAATGTTTGTTTTTGTAGGTTTTATTGAGTAATATTTATCCGCGGAAACGCCTGACTTTAAAAACCTAAAAACTATATTTAGATGTATTGCTATTTAATGATTTTTTATTTATTTTATACCTAGTAGTGTACTAAATTATTGGTATAAAAATTGTATTTGTAGTCTCGTGCTAAATGTGTTTTTTTGGTCTCTTTGTTCTCATAGTCGTTTGAAGACAAAACACCTGACTTTAAAAAGCCAAAAAAAATATTTTAAATCAGTGCTCGGCCATAATTTTGTATGTAATCAATTATAACAAAATCTATTGAATATTTGGTATAAAAATTATATTTAAAATCGCATTGTAAATGTGTTTGTTTCTTCCCCGTCTTTCTGTAAGATTATCTTGTTTTAACTAATAATTCAAATTGAATTAATCGATTTTTTCATTAAATACACTAATTTTTATTTATTTCTAAACTTTCATAATACTAATGTCCACCTAAACCAAAGATTTTGCCTCATAATTATCAACGTGTTGTCAAACTATAATTTGACAACACTTTAAATGCATTAATTTATATGATTATCTATTGCCTCGATACCAAAAGTTGTATTTAATAGATTATATCACAAAATTATTTCCTGTTGAAGAATATAAAATAAATCATTATCTCACTAAAACGAAAAGGTATTCAACTTCTTTTTTAATTATTACTATTTGTTAAACAAGCAAACATTTTTACGAAAAATAATATTTTCTTTAATCTAATAATAATTTTATGTAAATAAACGCTCATATTTACTCGAATTTTTCCGAAAATGTTTATAAAGAAAAATCTTACCTGTAGCCAGTCGACTATCCTTTTGGCAAAAGCTGGCGTAAATTTTGTAGTTTGGGATAGAGAGAGACCGTCCATGTCAAAAATGACAACTGCTCCGCACACTTGCGTTTCGGGTTCCAACATGGCGGCTTCCAGGAACAAAACTGCTCCTTTGAATACTTCGTCTAAGCACACTTTGTCAGTTTTCCATTTTTCTATAAACAAAAACAGAAATTAGTGTGTTTTGACTTTAACTATCGATTTTGCCTTCGAATATACAGGGTGTTACTTAATGATAGGCCGTAATTCTAATGGCGCATTTCTGAATCAATTCAAGTACAAAAGTTCAAGATAATTTAAAAGTTTTAAAAAAATCGGTGTTTTATCAATATCTTAAAGATTCTTCTGTCGAGTTTGTTGAAATTCAGCAGTGTTGTTCGTCGTGATAAGATGCTAAGTTACCACTAATTAGATGATAATTATGAGTTCCAGTGACGTCGCGGGGGCAGTCTCACGAATAATAAAGACCGAAAAAATGTACGCTACTGACTTTTAAATTTTTTTATTTTTTTGAGATAAAGCAGCTAAAAAGCAATTTTTTTGTTTCTTGATATTTTTTCGTATCTTACTTCGTTTTTGAGGAAAAAATAAAAACAAATTTCGTCAAAAACGAAGTAAGATACGAAAAAATATCAAAAGACAAAAAATTGTATTTTTACCAGCTTAACCGTAAAAGAAATATAAAAACAGAGAATCGAGCGACACCTTCAAAAAACCAGTTAAAGATAACGAAGGATATTCCGTAGTTTCATATAAAAAAAAACACAAAGCAAATCCAAAACCAAAATAATAATATTCCATCAAATAAAAATATAGGGAGGTCCATAAATTTCTCACCACACATAAAAATTTAATAATATGTTCTATATTAACACCAATAATACCATTATTAATAGAATCCAAATGGCTGATTTGTGGGAAAAAACAAGACCAAATAATAATGATATAATATTAAAGACAAAAAAGGGCTATCTGCCAAAAAGTGATACTGCTAAAGCGATATTAGAAAATGCACTAAAGATCTTAAAAAATAACAATAAAATTATGGAATATAGCGCAACAATACCCTACAACCAAGCTTTACGAGATAACAAAATTCCAGCGACTCAAGTCTACTCTTGTGTTATTGCCTCTGTCGAAAACGAAATTGGACGAAGAAATCTCACTAAAAATGGTCTCACCTGAAGGGGAATTCCACTACTGTAAATGAATCATCTCAAAAAAGACAGACACTCCAACAAACTTCATAAGAATTATCACAAAAAATCTAAAATTTTACAAAGGATTACATTACAAATTCCGCCATTATGCTGTCTATACGAGCTCTCCGCCGCCCCCAGTTCCAATGCCTTGCAATTAGTGTTTGAAGTTTTCCCACTCAATAGAAAACTGCACAGGAACAAAATGCAACAAATGTTCTGAAGCGCATTCCACGAACAAGTGTCCAACCACGCTACCCCCAAAATGCAGTAGATGTGGTCCAGAAGATAATCAAGCTTGGTAATTTAAATGTCCTAAAAGACCAACAAAACCAATAACAGGAATTCCCAACTTACCAGTAAAAACATTAAATAAAAAATCTGACCAAATTAAGGACAATATTAAAATGAACAGATTCCACTCCCCAATTACAGTTCATGACATATTAATAAATTCTTATGTACAAAAGCTGAACAAACCCAAAAACATCAACAGAGAGGAGTTAATAGAAAGACTACGAAAAAGATTCATGGCGGAATACAGAATAGATACCACTGTAACGTTTGTGGGAAACAACTGGATTTACATCTTGATGTTTGACATGGAACTGGACAACTTAGAATCTCCTACTGAAACTATACCAGGATCGCAAGTAGCTCACATTCAACAACGAAATTAAAATATTATACACAAAAGAAATATTTAGTGAACTATACGATAGAAAGGAAGTTAATAGACTGTGCCCTATTTGTAGAAACTAAAACCAATGCCGAAACCAACACCAATTATAGAAATTGGAATGAAGTAAGACACGACGGAAATATTCTAAACCAAAATATAAGAGGAGTATCACTTATGCAAATAAATCCAAAGCTAAAAATGCGAAAACAAAACCCGCCCTCCATAAACGATCCCCGAAATGATGCTCTACACGTCAATATCCCTTTTAATGATGACGAACTTCACATTACTTTGATATACAGCCACCCACATGCTTCAACCGACGATTCTATCTTCAGAATGGCAGGAAGATTCAAATATGTTGTGCTAATCAGTGACTTCAACCACCGCTCTCCAGGCAAATTAAAACAGATTCAAACTTTTATGCATGACACAAACTTTATTAAAGCGGATACTCCCCCTACTTTTTTGATGCCCAACAATGAGGACTTCACCCCAGATTTGTTACACTGACAATCTTAGCAACGCAACCAAGAATATAGAAGTAATCCCTGACATTGGCGCAGACCACCATTTCATAATGTTTACTATCGAGCAAGGAATGCCCTCTTCTTTTGCAGACCCACCTCTTAAATATAATTTCAATAAATCAAACATTGAAAAAATAAATAAAGAAGTAAACCAACTAATTTCAAACAACACTAATATTACTACCAATGAAGTCAATAACTTTCACGCAAAGGTCTTCGAGATTATTACAAACAACACACCAAAAACTGCAAATAAATATTTTATTTATGAACTTCCTAGATACATCGTGAAACTCATCAAAACAAAACGTAAAATGCTCAGAGAATACAGGCAAAACCCTAGTCGAGAAGTCAAAACAAACATCAACAACTTTAACAAAGACATTCAAAAATTAGTAAAACAATTTCAGCAACACACATGGCTACAGACCTGCCAAGAAAGCAATCGAGTACAGGGAAGAAACTTCTATCATAAAATAAATAAGCTGTCAAAATATAAAACTAGGAATAAAATTCCAAATATCACAGACAATGATATAAACTATGCCACCGATAAGGAAAAGGCCGATGTATTCAAGGAGAACTTCATTAAAACATATAACGGAACGAAAGACCCATCTTTTGAATAAGAAAACTCGAATAATGTAAACTCATGGTGCAAACAATATTTTAGAAACAACTCAATAAATGAGAAAGATAACACAGAATTCGAGGAGGAAAAATACTTTCAAATACTATTCAATCAGAAAAGCTCAGCTCCAGGATCGGACATGATCTCATGGCAAATTGTGAAAAAACTAGAATATAATATACATATCTATATTATAAAAATGTTTGTATTCTGTTACAAAAACTCGTACTTTTCAGATCAATGGAAAAAAGGCACCATCATAGTTATCCCAAAACCAGGCACAGACCACAAAATAATTGATAATTATAGACCAGTCGCCCTTCTTCCAGTTTTGGGTAAACTATTCGAAAAATTTAATAGGGTCAAACTAACAGCATTAATAAACGAACGAATTCCGCGATTCCAATTTGGGTTTAGAGAACAAATCTCCACTCTGGTACCAACCACTCTACTGGTTTCCAATGTGCAAACAACAAAATTGAACAATAAAAAATCTGCCATTCTCCTGTTGGACATTAAAAAAGCTTTTGACTGTGTCTGGCACAACGGCCTCCTATTTAAACTAAAACTTCTTAATGTGCCTGATGGTCTTAGAATTCTTATCAAAAACTTGCTTCAAACCAGAACTCAAAAAGTTAATAAAATAAATAACCACACATCTCCAAGTTTCATAGCAAATCAAGGTGTACCGCAAGGCTCACCACTATCTCCGCTCCTTTACAACATATATTGCTTTGATTTTCCTTTAGGTCAGTTACACCTCAATGCAGAAAATTTCACACTCCAATACGCAGATGACACGGCCTTGATATCGCATGGAAATACGCTGAATCAAACCATCACAGCACTACAAAATCAATACAACGAAGTTGCTCAATGGCTTAATAAATGAAGATTACAAGTTAACCCACAATAATGTCAATTAATGATACCCTATCATGATCTAAGACCGACATCACCTACACTCATCATATCTAACCAAACAATCTATTCCGTATGCTCAGTGAAATACCTAGGCCTTATTGTTGATAATAAGCTTCAATGAATACACCCGCAGACAAAAAAAAAACAAAATCAAAACCAGAGCGAAACATTTCCGCTCTTTAACATACAAAAAAGAAGGTATCAACATCTACATGGCCACTAAAATCTACAAAACAATTTGCAGACCTCTCCTGGAATACGGTCACACTAGATATTTAAACTGCCGAAAACCTGCATTAAAAAACATTCAAGTGGCCGAAACTTCTACACTTAGAATCATTACCAAGATGCGACATCCTGAAAACCCCACTCACCATCCAGCGAATGAATATCTTTACGAAAAAACTAAGATTTAGCCTATCCTGGAAAGAATTAGAAAACTGTCAAAAAATTTCTCGAAGAAACGAAACAATCACATGCTAATAAACATTTTTTCGATGCAACGGCAAATTGGTCAAGCAAAGTTTAAATACCCAGTGAGATCAATAACAGAAATCTTAAACGAATTTGCCGATGAACAATAATTAGTGACACATATTGTTTTTTTTTTAAGTATCTTAATATTCGTATTCATCTTACACATATAGCTTGTAAATCCTCATACATACCATACAAATTGTACTGGCTGAAGGACCTAGGTCGATGGCCATTTGGTTATAATATAATATTCATAACCAATAAAATGCTTTTATTATTATTAACCTATTTTTTTAAATTTTGACACCTTGAATGAAAACCAGACTTTTTAGGACACATGTTTATATAAACTTTTCTACTTGAATTCGGTTCAGAAATGCGCCTATACTTAAATAATACCCTGTATGAAGGGTGTCTCAAAAAAGTAGGCCAATCCGTTATCCATATAGATTCCTTAGGTCAATTTGGGGCCATCATATTCAATACACAGAAGATAATTTAATAAAAAATTAGAAGAAACAAGTTCAAGAAAAAACTGAACTAAGTAAAGAAAAATTCTTATCTTGAGTAAGAAATAAATATTATTTACAAAAAGTAAATCTTTATTGATTTTTTAAATTGTAATAATTATTTTTCTTAGAGCGTTTGAACATACTCAAAATTGATATACTTTTGTTAATTCCATTTATATAGAGAGGCATCGAGTAAGAAGTAGAGAAGCATTATATAGTGAGAGAGATAAGGATGATTTTGGATTACTCTGCGTAAAAATCTCTGAACATCCTGATTAAATCTCGTATCGTAATTTTTACCTTGCCCTCGTATTTAAAAACTCAATTTCGACAAACCCGGTATAAAATTACCATTAACAAATGGTTATGCATTAATTTGTTTTTTATTGCAATATGTGTGATATCACCTTTTCGACATAGTTTTTTCACACTTTTAATTAACTTAATAATACGATAATCGTTTTTTTTATTACTCAAACAAACAGTATAATTACAGGGTAATTTGTCTGGCTATTTTGGTAAATAAAAGCTAAAATTGAAAAAATATATATTGTTGTTTAGATTAAGAATATTGGCCAATTTGTTTTTATTATTCTGGTATCGTAAATAAACGAATAAATAATGTAAAAATGTTTGTTAATCTTATTTTAAAAATCGAACCCAAAGCGTAAAATTAAATAATTATGTTTCGAAAGCTTTGCATTTCAAATATGGTGTACGTCAAGGCTCAATCTTCGGACCTTTACTAGTTTCTTTATATATTTCTGATTTTCACAATCATCAAAAATTTGGCCTTTCCCTTTAATGCTTTAGTCTAAACAAAATAAAATAGATTTAGATTCTTTATTTAACATTTCTTCAGCCCATAACTTAAAATATATTCAGAAACATCTACTATAATAACATTCAGCCTGATAAAATGTATTCATGATCTTCGTAACAGCATTAAAATTAACATCCTTAAAAATGTTTTACTATTACTGGATGACTATAAATATTTAGGACTCTGGATCGATTCTAATATCAGACATTTGAGTCATTTACGTCAAACTTCATACAATGATCTCAGGCAACTTTACCTAAATAGACATCTTTTGTTATAAAATTAAAGCTTTCTGAATCTCTTATCTTTTCTAAAATGATCTATTGTAATACAGTATATGGCCCTGTAATTATCATATCATAACTCAACCATTACAGAAGATGCAGAATTTTTGGATACGCTCTTCATTTGGTGTTTGGAAGTTTAATCATATTTCTTATAAATATCTAGAAGTTAAATGGCTAAGACTCGATTCCTCGAAGAAATTGCATTATGCTGTACATGATGCACACATTTATTCTTAATTGAAACCCACAATATCTATTAGCGAAGGCGAAGTTGAGATCTTTCGCATACTATAATTTTGCCACCAGTAACCAATACATTCTGGCAATCCCTCAGTACAATATAAAACCATTTTCAAAGGAAGTTTCTTTTATTGCACGTTGTCTCTATATAACAAGTTGCCTACTGATTTTAGATCGTACGCATTAGTAAACTTTGAAAAAAAACATTATTTATTCATTTATATCGATTCTATAAATGTATCTGCAAATGTATGCAATTCTGTTTGGAACTTCGCAAATTTAAGACAACTCATTTTCAATTCTTTTAAATTTTTGTTATGCTGAAATTTTTACGTTCTAATATTTTTTTTTATTATTGTTGAACAGTCCAGGCTGAATTTCGCCGTTTCGTCATCAACTATAAATAATTTTATATTGTATTTCCATTATGTATTTATATCTTTTTACTTATAATATTTTTGTAAAAATGATTTATTATGATAATTATAATATTTGTAACTTACTTCCTAATTCGATAATTAAAATTCTTCTTCCAAGTTGATCCCTATTCGGTTGTACAGTCAAAATGTTTTGTTCGAAAATGTTTTTTTCCTTACTGGGCAAGAGTCCATCGTAAACGTCTGCGTGTTTTCTTTTGAAAGCGTAGTACCTCTTTATCTATAAAAAATAAAAATTGAAAAAAAAAAATTGAAACAAAAAATTATCGAAAATAATGCTACAAGTGCTTAAAAATTGTTGGGGGGTAATACACTGACAACCAGAGGCGTAACCAGACATTTTTATTTGAAGGGGTTTCTGGAAACTAAGAGGAGGGGTTTCCATCAACAAAGTGAAATATTTCGGATAAGATGATTTTCATTAAAAAAGTAAATACAAATAAATAGGTTTTTATATAACAATAAAAAAAAGAGAATAAAAGCAAACAATTCATAGCGATCAGCGCCAATACCCCCCCCCTCCGTGACTACGCCACTGCTGACAGTAATTATCAGTAGTAATATCCCAAGGATAGGGATGGTTACGAAATTGTTGTGATAAGGCCAATTCGCACGTCACGTCAAAATATTATTGAATAGGTTTCTGATGGTAACATTCACAAACGAGGCGCTAAGAATTATAGCGGCCTAACCCAGAAAATTTAAATATTTACTTGTATCCATAAAGTTTCGGCAGTTAAATAACCGTTACATGCGGTTATACCGGTCTTCTACTGAAATTTTGAATAATAAGCCATTACTTTATTGATAAAAGTAAATATTAAAATTTTGTGAGCTAGGCCACTATAATTTTCAACGCCTCGTAGTGTTTTCATGGCACTTAAAGAGATAAGATTTTGAGCATAGTCGGACCAATTGGTGGAGTACTTTATGGCGGGTCGTTCCTGTACTTTTTGTTTTCTTTCTATTACTTATGATTGAAGAAGAAAATTCTTTGAATATAAGTTTTTTTGTAATGTTATTTTATTTTTGTTATATACATAATGTACATAATGTACTGGAGATATTTGATGAAGTGTTTTTTTTTTGTTTTGACCAATATCTAACTTTAGTGGAAAGTCGTGTGTTGGGACACGGGAAATCGGATATAAATGCGAAAACAATTACATTTTGAATAAATCGCTCTTAATAGTAGCAGCAGTCAGATTACTTACTACAAAATGATTTAAATTTACGGGACGTATAGCAAAATTGACGTTGCCTTTAGTGCGAATTTACAGTTTCCAAAAGCAAGTTGCTTCGTAACATCCAGTCGCTTAAGAATTTTTTATATCCCGTCAAAATGACATTCACTGGTAAAGGTAACGTCATATGTTTACTGAATTTTTTTGTATTGTCACTTTTGACTCATTAACTATTACATAATTTATATAGGCTGTGTGCCAACTGGTCGCATCTCCAGATAAGTGGGAACCGCCATAATCTCTCGACTAGCGGTAGACATAAGTAGAGTGAGAGGGTTTAAACATTTTCAAAATCTTTTGAAAAATCTGCTGCCATGAACCAACTCCCTCAATCTAAGATGTGAGGTAACGTGCTGATGAATAAAATGTCGCAGAAGTACATGAGGCAGCTAACGTTTCCCTGGAGGCGCCAAGCGACACCCTCTTGTATCTAGCCTTGCAGGCTGGCCCGACGACAGGAGGGGGCAGGGGGAGCAAAATCCCCGGGGCCTGAGCACAAAGGGGGGCCGGCAGCTTTAGCATTTCACCAAGAAAGAGTACCTGATTTTTTAAAAATTTAACACAGAAAGACTTGATTTTTTATAAAAATTCCTGTCTATTTTCCGCAAACCTGCCAATCCTAGTTAAATAAGGGGCCCTTGCCAGTGTTTCTAACCCAGGGACCCACCATGGCTCTCGGTGACCCTGCTTGCAGGCGCATGATGGGCTTTACGTCGGTCGACTTTTCCTTCCCAGGCTGCTTCTCCCTCAACCTCTCATGTAGGACAATCTCACAAGAAAGAAAAGTGATGAAAGGAGTAGAAGACGCCCTCATCAGTGGGGACTATACCATCATTGATGGAGAATGAAATAGCGGGCATTAACGTCGCTCAAATGAATATTCATCACGCCAAGGAAGCATCGGTTATGCTTTCCAGGATGTTCGCTAAGAACCAACTACGGATCCTACTGATCCAGGAACCGTTGCCTTACGAAAACCAGGTAAGACGACTTGCATTTAAATATGCAAAGGTAATTTATCACAATAGTGATGAAGTACCCAGAACATGTATTATGGTAAAGAATAATATTAAATATTGTTCTCTTTTAGAATTCATGACGCCTGATCTCGTCTCAATTCGAGTATGTCTTGAATTTGGAATGAGGCGGCAAGATATAGTAATACTTTCGCGGGGGATAATCCTACCACCCCTGGAAGTATCAAGGTTAGTCAGAGAAGCAATCTGCCATTACTTCTTGCGTACAGTACCATACGGGGGGAGTAAATAATTTTATTTGTCACTATATTGTTTTTTGCTTTTTAGTAAAATTTCAAGTTTACAATTTAATAAATTTCACTATTTTTCGAGCAGCTCAAGAGAGGGGTAATTACCCTTTTACCCTCCCTGTACCCGCGTATGATGGAGAAGCAACGACACTAATCAAAGAGGTTAGCAACTTCTAGAATATATTTGTAATAAGTACCATATTTTGCACAATATTGGATATACGCCCACATTGGTAACAATAGCAAGAAATGAGGTGTAAGATATCACATTAAGTACAGCGAGAATTAAAGATCTAGTTACAAACTGAAAAATATCGAGTGATCCATCTCTATCTGATCACAAGATAATTGTGTTTAAATTAGAGACTTCCTGAGACCATCCTCAGGAATCCTAGAAAAACATACAGGGACAAATACGACACTACTCTAAACTAAAATTTTGCAAGTATCCAGACTAAAAAGGATTCGAGCCACCCACTTGTTCTAGAAAGTGATCTCGAAGAACTGAATGAATCAAGCTGACCCATTTAAACAAATAGAGCTAGTAGGGCTGCTCCTTGGTGGAACAATCATCTGTCAAACTTAAGATACAGAAATGCTGCAAATTGCGTGCAGTTAATGTTTGGCTGAAATTAATATTATGTAGGTCACATACAATTTATTAAGTATAATTATTTTTTTCGGTTTAAATGTCTTTTATGACGTTATGTTTAGTACTTTGTTGTTATAAATTAAAATGTTTCTGTTTTAAAAATGTATATTTATAAATAAAACAAACGGTTTCAGTGTAAATAAAAGTATTACTTAAATTCTAAACGTTTTGTTATAACGGAAATTCTAAACTTTGTTTAAAATATGCACCCTTAATAATTTTGACGTGGGTTCATAAAAAAATAAATATCTCCCCCAAATTTTAACAAATGACGACAATGTATACATTTTTAAAAAGACGAAGAAAGGAACTTTCAGATGGTATGAAAAATATTTGGTATTCTATTTAACGTAAACCGACAATTTTGCTTTAAAGGAAAGACCATTATTTTTCGGCAGTTTCGGGAAATAATATATATTTAACAACTATGTCAAAAAAATGTTTAAAGCAAATATAAGAAGTTTAGTGATAACTGCACTTCTATATCTTTCTCCATTCTAGAGTTATATGCTGTGCAAAATGTGTTACTTTTTAATATAATAATAATATATAATTAGTGGGACCAGTAACGTGGGGGGTTTTTGGGGGTCAGAAGGGGGGCATTCGCGTCGCATTTCTGCTATCTTATTGGCGCTGATCGCTATTAACTATTTGTTAACCCCCCCATAGTACATAGAAACCCCTCCCATGAAAAATTTCTAGCTACGCCACTGAGAGGGACACTCTGTATTATATGAGTGAAATATACGATAATAAGTTATTGTTATTACGGGGGTGTTGCGGTAACTTACCAACTGACAGGCACTTTCTGGGTAAAATTTGCATGGCCTTAGGAATCTAGTTAACCAAATATCATTGTCTAATGGCACTCTGAGGTCTTTTTCTTCTGCAAAAAAAAGGTTTCAGAAAAACATTACTATACCTTCTTGATTGTATGATATTTGATTGTTATATGATATTTATTTGTATGATATTTTAATGTATGATATTTTGATTGTATGATATTTTAATGTATGATATTTTGATTGTATGATATTTTGATTGTATGATATTTGTATGATATTTGATTGTATGATATTTGTATGATATTTGATTGTATGATATTTGTATGATATTTGATTGTATGAAATTTGATTGCATGATATTGTATGATATTTGATTATATGATATTTGAGTGTATGATATTTGACTGTATGATATTTGATTTTGTATATTTGATTTTATGATATTATTAATTGTATGATATTTGATTTGGATTCAAGTGACTTTTCACGTAATTCCTTACCTTTGAGAAGATCTCTTAACGCTACTATAGCTTGTTTTTTGGTGTCTGGATTTTCTCTGAGTTCCTTCCTTGCGATTTCTTCTACTTCCGGTGAAAGATCATCTAATTCTATTTGGAGGGTGAAGTCGCCCAATTTGATAACAGGGAGCTTCTCCATATCTGATAACATAGTTGCTGCCACTGTAACAAAAAATAACAATAATAAATAAAAGAATTCGAAATTAAAATTTTTGTGTTTTTTTATTAATTTACTAATTTATTAAATTTGGTAAAAAAAATACTGAAAGAAAGTGAAAACATGAAAGCACTAGAAAATAAAAGGAATATTGAAAAAGATCTTAATATGACACAATATCGAAAGAATTGGCATTATTTTAGAAGAGAGACTTTAGAAACTCATACTCAACTCATATACTAGGCAAACAAGTTCATTAGCTAAAGACTTGTTGTTTTTCTAAGTTTTTAACTTTCATTCTTTATCTATTAAATGAAATATATCATACATTCTCAAATATTACATAATCAAATACATAAAAAAACCCAAAATCTTGGTCATAATAAATTTGTTAATAAAAAAATCCTTTCCTTTATATTTTCCTGATGACATGTCGAAATTAGTAGCGCAACAACTATTTTTTGTTAATTGATTTATTGTGACGAAGACTTTGGGTTTTTTTATGTATTATAATTTATTATCCAATCTCAAGAAACCTTCAAACCAAATTAAATATAATTCAGAAATGGTTAAAAACATGGCGCATCAAAGTTAATGAAACCAAGTCCATGCGTATAATTTTAAAGAAACCCGAACAAACCAATTTGAAAAAAGATACCAAAATAATGTTATTTAAAAAATATACGGTAATAGGGCCAAAAATACGGTAATTTTGGATACGGTAAACTTTCTGAGAAGGGTTGGCAACATTGCTCTGAAGTAATATGTGTATATTATTATTATGATAAAGAAAACTGAGAATGATCCATTGGTTGCAATAACATGTTAGTACAAACTAAGTAATTATAATGCCTACGTTAATTCATTAACAAAAAATACTTAAATAATCAATTTATTTATAATATTTATACATAAATTGGATGACGAAAATGTTTCAATCATGAAATCCAGTTATGTCTTACCCAGAACTAATAATTAGCTATACTAGTCATACTTTTTAAATAGTCAATACGAAAGTTTATTATATACAAAGTATAGTTTATTCCTAGAGTTTCCAAATATTTTTCTTATTAAAATCATTTTTGTTATTGAATTCTGCAGAACGTGTTTACATAGTTAAAACATATTTTGAAAAAGGGTTTTCTGTAAGAACCATAATATACCTATCGTGGAAAACCAAATTATTTTGTTGTACAAACTCATCTTTCAGAAAAAACTGTGATCTTACGATTTGACTATATTTGATTATTTTTGTGTAGTGATATGGTAAAAACAGTCTAGTTCTGAAAGGCTGTTACAGAAATCTTCAATAAAATAGTTGTGTCCTGTCAAATGAATCGTGATGTCAAAATCAGCGGCAGTTTCTCCATTGGTTCATTTGTGCAGTGAACACCCAGTTAAATTTCATAAAAACACATTATTTTAATATTACATAAATACCATAAAAATATAAATTTAATTTTAATATTTTTATTTTCATACGTGTTAATCTATATTTTTTTGTACATCCTTGTCCTCTGGCTGATTGCGTCTCTGTGTCACAGTATACCTAAGTATACGGTGTCTGTGGCGTATTATGATGAGTGAGCCTAACACGAGTGAGACGATATGCCGAATGCATTTAGCTAAAAAGAGAAGACAACACGCCAACAGGTCCTTCAAACTGTCAAAGAACACATTAATTGGCGCGCCGCTCACAAACAAGGTTGCCAAACCAGTATTGCCAGTCTAGTACAATTCACAAATAGCTACGTTCGTTTGATCTGTCTACAGGCACAGCATAATTTTGTAATTAACCATAGGAATAGAGTAAGGGTTAGGTTTTAATAGGTTGGCAACATTTTTCGTTAGAAATTTGTCAGTTCTATAATCGAACTGTCACTTTGTTTTTAAATAACTTTTTTTTCGGGCCAAAAATTTCGGCCCTTTCCAATTTGATTTTTGGAAGAAGATAACCATTGGGATTTAGCTCCGCATTGTGTTAAATAGTGTTGGAGTAATAATTCGTTTTCGAGCTTTTTGTTTTGTCCAAGAGCCCCCGTGCCAATGTTTATGTTACTTTTATTTTGGATGAACCTGGTTTTTGCCCAAAATCTGAGGCAAGTGAGACGCGGAGATATACATACTTTCTTCCACATATTGCTAGATCCCGGTAGCAGAGAAAACCCTCAAATGAGGTAAGTCATTTCCTTTACTGCTCCTGCATTTTCTTTGTATGGTAAAACACTCATATTTTAATATATATGGGGTTCTTCCCGTGGATGAACAAGAGAGCCACATCAACCGTGGGTGATTATTCTCAGAAAGCTACAGAATGGAATTCTGTCTTGCCAATATGCTGGTCCATTTTATTTACCCTACTGCGAAGCAGAGATTTCCTTTTTATTTCAAACGTTCTTACGATGGTCCCGTGTCCCAAGCAGTCCTGTAACATGATGAGCTTCGGTGTACACTGTGTAGCTTAGCAGAGGGCTCTTTCTAGTGCCGCTGTCAGACTTAGGATTATATTTTGGTATTTATTATTTTTTCTTTAATTTTAAACAATATGTTCGCAATGTCTATTTAGACACTTATACTTATATTTTGAAACGGGTGTTTCTTTATTTTCTGTATGATTTAGTTTTAAGAATACTTTTTGTTTCTTTTATTTACAACCAGTTTGTAAATATTATTTTGAGTACTCAAAACAATATACCTTAATTTTAACAAGACGTCTCGGATAGGTATAAATAAACCTTTTTATTTTATTATTCACATATTTCTCCAACTATTGGCGAATGAATTGAATTCTCAATTACACCATTTCTATTGACTATAAATTTAACTGTTTAAAAATGAATTGAGTATTTTCAATTATATTGTTTCTACCGTTTATAAATTTAAATGTTGATAAGTGGATTGAGAAAATACTTCCAATTTTATTACTTTTAGAGTTTGATTCATCAAATGAATTGGGTAAATATTGTTAATTTATTATTTTTTCTCTTTTGAGCAAAGAACGTTTGTATAATTTAATGCTCATCGAACAAATTGAGAAAATATTGTTAATATATCACTTTCATTTATTTTTCTATTAAATTCAATTTAAATTATGTATGACTTTTATTTCACAGAATATCATGAACATCTCTAAAAGTGTCCATTTGCAGATTCATGTATTTATGGTTTAATTATTTAAATATTATTTACTATGGTTTCTGAATTTACCTTTAGATTTTAAAAACTTCTTTATCAAATAATACCAAATTTTTTAATCTATAAAAAATTCAGTGGCGTCCATCTATGGTTCAAATACTCTTTTTTGTATTTTATTTAAGTGTATCTAAAGTAAATTTAAAATAATTAAATTTCAAGACAACAAATCCTTTATGCCACCGACGGTAGAGCTGCTGTGCTGTATATAACCTAAACTCTTTATCAAAAGAAAAAAATAGGTTACACAGTTGAATATTATTGTAGAACTTTTTAAATTGTTTATTTTACCTTATACATTTTTTTTTCTACTCTTCATACAGTATTATGTGAAGAGTATTATTGGTTTACTTTAAAAGAAGATTAAGCCTATTGATACTGAAAAAAATATGAATATATTGGTGAGTGAAGGGGGGTTAAAATATAAAAAAAAATCCTAACTGAAAAACTTGAAATTTTTAGCAAACATCAATCTCTAAAAGGAGAAGAAGCCCTTTCATTATAAAAAAATCTGATTAAATAGGGGGGATTTAAGGGGGGTTGAAATTAAAAAATAAATCAAAAATAAAGCGATATTAACATGAAATTTAAGGTCTATAAGGAGATGAGGCCTATTGATTGTAAAAACAATCTGCTTAAAAATGGGGGTTAAGGGGGTCTGTTAAACTGCGAAGAGTATCATTTAAAATGCAAGGCATTGTATATCTTCATTCTAGTTTGTGTCTGTGTAATATTATGTATTGTGATGGGACTGATCTTATAAAATAAACATTTAAAACAATTTAGTTCTTATTTTATTTGCCAATAAAAGGTATTTAAAAAATATATTTTTTATTTGACATCTGTGACAAATTGTGAAAATGATTAAACTTACAATAAAAACTAAAAAATGGTAGGTAAAGTTTCATATAAAATTTTTTACACAAAAATCAATGTTAAGCTTTCTACATAACCTGAAATATATTTAAAAATAATCTCAAATTATGAAGAAAAGTCAGTATACTAACTAATAATGTTTATAGATGGTTTTCAACGTATTAAAAACCAAACAAATATCACACTAACTAAAATATTCATTAATTAATAGTTGTAGTGCTTGAAAACAGTATGATATTGATAATAATAACTACACTTAATACAAACTCAAATAAAAAAAAAACAGCGATATTGACTCTTGTACAAAGTTTTGATCCGAACTTACATTTGATAAAATTATTGGAAAAATTGAACACCCATTTTAAATTACTACGAGCCGCCACTGGTCAAAATGATAATATTTGGCAACGTTGTATATATTTGCAATTACTTTATTAGATGCTTATGAGCAGGAATAATAAACAATAATAGTATTCTAATACCATTTTGCTTTTTAATGTCTAATTAAACGTATAAATGAAGTTATTTTTAGAAAACTAAAGACTTTTTTATTCATTTTTTTACGTAAATATTTTTAATTCGACTGCGTTATTTTACGTAATAATCATACAATTATCAAGCGTAAATCTTTCTTAAAAAAAAAACTATTTATGCTTACAAATTAATAAAATTGACAACGTACCACATCATAAATAATATAAAAAATGATTTTTTAATGATTCTTAAGTTCAAGGTATGCAACATTGAAATATTCAGTGTTCGTTACACAAAGCAATTAATTTCTGTACCATAAACCCATTAACCATCGGTTTTCGTCCTCTTGAAATAGCGAGGCTGGGTCCATAACCTTCGGCTGTTTTTATAAGTAACCAGTTTTTATTTTGTAGTTTTTTGGAAAAAAATGAAAAGGATTTATAAGCTCATAATTCATTAGCCG